GGGGGGGGGGGGCAAAATTTGTTATGGTTTATAATGGCAAATGATACTTTGAATATTACATGTTGATGAATTGATTGGAATTATAACCCTAAGTTGACAGTTTGATACTTTGTACATTTTGAGCCATCCCTACACCCAAGGGCTGTAGGGTGGGGCCCAATGGAGTCTGTGTGCTAAAATAAAATTTCTTCATTTTCCTTGTTTAGAATCAGAGGTGCTAGTTTCAAATTCTTTTCAGTCTTAAATCTGCATGCTAGATATTGAATTAGGGGGTTTTATTGTTTTTTGTCACTTTGAATAATATTTCTGTTCATGTTAAAAACAAAAATCAACTCTCTGTATAAATATATCAGGTGACCATTAAGGCCCATGGGCCTCTTGTTTCAACAAACATCTTGTTTGTGTATGAATGTTGTGCATTATTAGCGAAATTCTCATATGTCAGATTTCCCCGGAAAACGAAAGTGAAAGTAGATTTTGGATAATGAATATAAACTTAAATTCCTGACTAAGTTCAATTTGATCGATCATTAGTCGATCATCAGTCACTTGATCAGAAGTGATGATCAAGCATGATTTTTAAAGTGATTCCCAACACTACTGTCAGGCACACAGTGTGTCCCTTCATGATCTTCTAGATTTCTTTTAAAAAGATTATTATAAAACCTGAACTAAAATAGGCAAATTAAAATTGATAAATAGCAATGACTGGTGTATTTAAAGTTTAACGTGTGTGAAATGTCAGGGCAGTAAACTTGATAAATATGATATTGTTGGATGATTTATCAAATAAAACGCACAAGTTGTTGTTGTTGTTTTTCCACCTCAGTTTATTGATGAGAATTTCTCTTTACTAGGATAATAGCAATAAACATCAAAACATTGTTGTGTTATGTACTTTGTATGTTATGCTTCTTGCAGACAAGGAAGATGAGGATGGAGACAAATTGAATATCCTTGGAGAGAAAGATGTGGCACCTGTTGGTAAGAATGCATCTTCTCTGGCATAAACCTGTAATCCGTCTTGAATGGACATGATCCAAGATTTCATAATGTGTATAATATATTGACTTAAGTTTTGTTCATTTTGTTTCAAAGCATGAGTAGGTAAGATTGAAAATAAAATCTGAATTTACAGAATCCAATGCAAAAATGTATGACTGTAAAATACACGGAAAGAAATAAAAAAATCTCTGTTACAGTTGAATCTTTCATCCGATGTATTTTCAAGACATTTAAAAGCAGCATGAATTTTCCAGATAAAATCAAGGGTATTGGATTCTTAAGATTCAAAATGATTATATTTGTCATTCAAACATACTCAGAACTGTTCCAAATAGCCAACTCCCTAACTAAATATTTTGAACATGTTTATGAAAAACCTTCTTATTCTTTGTAACCGTATGTTATCAAAATAAGATATAAATATTTTGATAATATATAATAAAACGCCACCAATTGATAATATTTTATGTCTGTGATTTATAACAGGTCATGAGTATATTGAAGAGGTGAAGAATGAGCAAGGAAAAACCATCAGCTTTAACTGCAAACTGTGTGAATGTAAATTCAATGACCCTAATGCAAAGGAGATGCACATGAAAGGACGCAGACATAGACTTCAATATAAGGTGAGACATTTGATACTTAATTATTGTGTTCCTTGTTCCCAGCTTTTCATATATTGTTTCCTGTTTGTCCATTCGTCTGTTACACGATGATTTTCAGGCAATGTCTTTAATACTAAATCATTCAATGATGGATCTCAGTCCATTTCATTGGTTAGATTTCGTTGTTGGCTTTTTTTCTGTCAAAGCAGAAGCATGTGTATGCTTTACAAAACTTGACTTGTGTGAATAAAACTTACACCAAAATATTTTGATTTTGTAGAAAAAGGTAGACCCGAGTCTGAATGTCGAGGTAAAGCCGAGCATCAGAGCCAGGAAGATTCAGGAAGAAAAGATACGGCGCCAGGCACAAAAGGAAGAATACTGGCGACGACGCGAACAGGAACAAAGGTGGCGCGACGAGATGAGGTACAGGGTACAGGACCTGTACACACCAGCCGCCAACATAATCATTCTTATATAGGGTTTAGCTCATGTCTATTCCAAAGGGGGGGAAAAATCTTAAGAATATGAGAAAGCAAAATGGTGTTGGTTAATGACAAAAGTAATTGAGAGAAGAAGAAAAATCCATATAACAAGAGATGACCATTCTAAGCTTTAAAAGAATTTTTCAAAGTTCTGGTTTTTAATATATACTAGACTTTGCGCTTTTTGTAAAAAAAAATTGCTGTCATGTCGTCAGAGATGTATTTTAATAACTTTTGCATAGCAAATTTTAGACTGCTCAATCAAACCTCTTTAATTGCTAAGATCAGTCTAAAAAGAACAAATTCTGACAAAGGTCTATTGCTGGGACTCCTAATGAAATGTAGTATTTCAGTCTAGGTAAAAGGAATCCAGGCTGGTTTGTGCAAGGTTCTGTGTACTGTTGTCTCCTGTAGACTTAGCATGGTGGTAGGACTGTTTACTCTACTAATTCGTTTTGCACCAATTTTCTTAACTGGCTAACCTCCTTCTAAGTAACCCCATTTCTATTTAAAGGGATGCCAGTGAAGTTCTTTTCCACCTTAATTACACTACACACCTTAATGCTATGCAATTCAACTAAATGTTTAAATATCCCCTTATCCTCACATAGATTACATTGGATCACTCTTTAGTCCACCACCTGTACTACGAGTTTGCTCTCTTACCATCCTCGATATCCAGGGGTTGTGTTTACCTTTGCTCTACATCCCTGGAATATGTCATAGCAAAATTGAAGGCTTGCAGATGGCTGTTTGATTGGTCTCGGGTAATAAAAAAACTGACCAATCGCTAGGCTGATACCTGTCCTTTGAAGATTACAAAGGAGAGACGCCCGACTTAAAAGCCTGTCAATGTTTACCGTTACGTGACCTTGAGGTTCTTTTGATGTAGAGAGAACTAGTTTTGCACTCTGGAATAAATCTCATTTACTCTCCAACAAACCAGGATATTTGGCCAGAATAGGGCCAGATTCCACATCGAAAAAAGAAAAAAAGATTTCACCTTTTAAACTTCAAAATTCCCAAAATAATTCTAGTTGCAAAAAATGTAAGTACATCTTGGAATTGCATCTTGAAATAAGGTCCCATGCCCCACTGTATACAGAGCTATGGCCCTTTGTTCACATCATTTACTGGTGTTAAATAAAAGCAAGAAATGAAATTACACAGTTATTTTTACATGTCCATTTGTGAGTAGCTTTCCCTGTTTGTGCATGTATATGTAATGTTGTTTATTACTAACATCTTGCATTATGTAAATCTAAACTTGCACACGGATAAATGTATCAATTGTTTAACTAATGCTTTAACATGGAACAAACTGTTTTCTACTATTTAAAAAGTATTTTGTATTGACAATAGATGCCAATTTATTTATAGTATGTTTTGTAATAATACATTTTGCTTTAAAACTAACCTATTGATATCTATATTTTGATTTTAATTTTTTTCATCCATTAAAAGAATCTTTAAAAATACTTTTAAATGATTTAGATTTTATTGAACTATTAAGCTTCCCTTATTGTCCTGTAAGGTGTGGGTATATGATGCTTATGGTCCGCATGCTCTGTGTGTAACCTTTGTTTGTGGTGTGTAGGATGGAAGATGAGCTGTACTGGGAAGAGCGACGACGATATGAGGACCAGGAGTACTTTGAATGGCAGCGGCAGGGAGGTAGACCAGGCATGGGACCCCCAAGGCCTTTCCTTCATGGGCCTGGTGGACCTCACATGGTAATAACCATGTCTATTCTCCTATAAAGAAGTTAGATATACCAGTATGATTTAAGCAGTGATGAAAATTTTCAGCTGTTTGGCTAATATTTTAGACTTTTTTTCTTAGCTTTTGTATAACCGATAACACAAACTTAAGTTTTCCCTGTAGCAAGGACTCAAATGCCAAGTTTAAACCCCTTAACCCAAAACTTTAAAATCAAAGAGGAAATATTGTTATTAGCAGTGACATGTTTATAGTTGAACTGTGTATATTCATGATTCCAGTTCCAGCCTATGAGAAGACCAGATTCCTCAGATGATCGCCACGTGATGGCCAAGCATGTTGCTATTTATCCAAATGAAGTGGAGGTATAATGCTATTTCTGTTTTTTAAATATATTGCGGCCATACTTTTCAACTTTTTGAATACTGAAATATAAAGATGTATAAAATATGTCAAAGTGTGATATATTCACCATAGGAAACACTTCTACAGCAGTGAATACATTTGATGAAATGTATGTCAATTTTCATTTGTTCTTTTAAAACTTATTTGGGGAAAAACTTATCAGTTGCCTTCAGGTTGACACTGGAGATTGTCAGATTTACTTATTAGGCTATTTACATTGATGATACTTGATTGAGAATATCTAAATTCATATGTTTAAAAACTAAAAAATAATTTATACTGATGTCTTTTATTTCAGCTTCAAGCTGTACAAAATATTGTATCTTTGTGTGAGAAGTCTCTGAAACAAGTATCAGATTTCCTGACTGACAGGTGAATATATGTAACATATTTTACATTAATTTCTGGAATGCTGTAAAATTATATCCCATATTTTTTTCATTCTATATATGAATTCCAATTTATTTTATACTTTGCCGATTTAAGGAAGAACAAACATCACATAAAAATGAAGGTTTTCATTTGTCAATAACAATTTTGCTATATGTCTTAATTCAGTACGATCTTGTTTAATTTTTCAGCATTAATCCAAAAAACATGGATATAGACAAGGATGTTAAGAAAGAGGCGGATAGCAAAGAGGGGTAAGTAAGGTTTAAAACAAATGATTATGCTGTAAATATTTGATGTCCAGAGGTTGAAATACATTTATATAGAGAGACAGAGAAAATAGAGACACTGACCGTAACAATGGCTTTGCTTGAACTGGTCTTGCAAAAGTTTGTTTAAATCTGGTAAGAAGAACAAAAGAATTATGTAGGCAAGATCAAATGAAATTTAACCAATATTATAGGTGGAATTACATAGTACATTTAATAGCAGACTGCATTTGAGATGAAAGATTTTCATCTAAATCTAAGTGCAATATGAATGAAACTAGAAATTTCAAATTGTTTCAATTGTTATTCAGGGAAAAGAAGGAGGACCCACTGGCCAACCGTGTGTTGAAGGGCGTGATGCGGGTCGGAGTGCTTGCCAAGGGTCTCCTACTTCATGGGGACCTTAATGTACATCTTGTTGTATTGTGTTCAGAAAAACCCACACGCACACTGTTGGAGCGAGTTGCAGATGGCCTACCGAAACAGATGGGAGTACGTTTGTTTTTAATAAAGAATGGGAACTACATTGCTAACAAAGCAGTGCTTGCGTCCAAAATAATCTGTTAGCATTATGTTAAAACGAAAATGTGATTCTGGCTTCTTTTGAAAAGTAAACCTTCAACTGTAAACATCTGTGAACTCGGATCGTAACCCTTTCTTTATAGTTCTTCAGCTTCTTTATTACGATTGTGGAATCGTATTCTTTAAAAATAAGAAGTTAAGATAAGAACGCATGTAATTTATTGATTTAGTTAGATAACAGAAGAGGCTCAATATATCTGTGGAAAAATGAAGCATCTGTAACTAAATTGTATAAAACTTGTGATGCAGGCAGCGACAGAAGAAACCTACGAGGTTAGACGCTGTGTGGAGGAGGCCGCCATTATTGTAACGAACAGCAAGGAGCCCAAGACTTCATGCAGCATTACTTTGACGTCACCAGTCATGCGAGAAGCTCAGCTGGCTGATGGAGGTAAAAAAGAATGGCAGTACTTCTGTTTTATTGAAATACATGTAGCTCTGCTAAGCATAAAATCTCTTCAAATTAACTTCTTAGAAAATATTGATTCATGTTTTGGATTCTTGTTTGTGGAGTGGTCATGTTTTCTGGAGCCAACTGAGAAAGTTTATTTTGTAAGTTCAATAATAATGCACTAAAGATACTCTTTTTAGCATGATCATTCTACACTACACTAATTTATCCTAAATTTATAAAATTCAAGCTTCAAAAACAAAGTATTTTACAAAACTGTTTGTAGCAAGTTGGAAGGCTTTACCATGCATTAATGACAGTTTTGTAAACAGCTGATGACCAAATAAAAAAGAACATTTGAAAATTTTCACATACAAGTATTCTTGATAAGGTTTTACTTGTATTGTTTAAATGATGTTTCATGATAACTGACTTGTTTTCCTACCCTATTTCATATGCATAACATTTGGAAAGCCTTCTAGCCATCTCCTGCACAGGTATTCTGTCAGAGAATGACCAGGATCCATCACTGTTCATGGAAGGATTTTTGACCATGATGGCAAAACAAATGTGGACTCCATCGAATACTGGCCTTTCCTGCACCTAATCCCATTGTGTGTGTTTTTTATTTGGTTTAAAATGTCCCTTTTCTTTTAATTTTTTCCTCACCCGTTCTTTTCTGGTTTCCTCATTTGCGATATCAACATTCCCTCCTTTTGTGATAGTTTGATACAGTGATTATCCTTATGTTGGTGCGAAGCTGGCCATGCAGTATATGTTAAAAAGAAAATGATATAAACTAAAATTAAAAGAAAAATGATTGGCTGTTAACATGTTTATACGAAACCTTGCTGTTTTGACTCAACAGAATTCAAAACAGATGAACTCCTAAGTACTATGTTCGGTCCAACATGTACATAATTTGGGATTGGTTTCAAGTGAAAACTACTAATCACTTTCTACAGCATGCATACCCAAAATGTTAACCCTTCCTAAAATCTTGATCAGGTGAGTCTGTTGCCTTTTACTTAAAAAGGCATGTCCCATCTACTGTTTATTTGACTATCATAGACACATACCCACTTTCTTACCTTGTCACTGACACTTACCTGGATTTGGAAACAATTCCTGTCTTCTGTCTTTATTTCCCAGTGAAAAGTTAGCAGTTGATAGCTGCATCTGCAACATTATTTTCTGTTTCAATAAAAAAATGTGTTGCATGTATGTGATGTTTGTTGTGGGGGAGGCCGATGTATACTTTGGGGTCCAATTTGACAGTCTGTGGATACAGACAATCTGTTGTAACTGACATCCTTTCTGCCTATGGTCAAACACCCATTCCTGCTACACAACTGGTTCAATGTGTTAATACTACAGAGACATCTGCTACTGTAAGCGTCAAAGACCCACCGGATGTGTTGGATAGGCAGAAATGCCTCGATGCTCTCGCAGCCCTTCGCCATGCTAAATGGTTTCAGGTTCGAACCTTTTTATACTTACTTTGCAGCCTGATGGTTTGTTATTATAATACAGAAGATATATAAATTCTGTGTACCCTGAACTGCAGATTTGCACATAGCAATGATCAATCTTTAAATGAAATGAAACTGAGGATGACACGGCAGCAAATCAGCATCGTATCGGTGTTGTCAGGCACTTTGTCAAATGTTGGTTCCTTTGGGGTTGATGACAAAATTTGAGGATCAAGTGGAGTGCAAAGTCTTTCTAATTCATGGATGGGGATAAGTGAGTATTCTTTTAAAGAAATATATTTTGGTAAATAACGTGAAATATTAAATTTCTTGTATTGGTATTCTGTTGGTTTTGAAATTAAATGTTTTTTATGTTAACTGGATTCAAATTTGTTATCAAATATATTTGGCAAAGTGTTCCAACATCACCGCTGTTCTGATTGAGCTCTGAGATGGCAAGGGAAGGCAACTCTCATACCTTGAGTGATGAATGAATGACAAGAGTGAATGAAATTTTGAAAGTGTTTGCTGTTTACTGTGAATGATAACGATACTCTGACGATAAATGAATCCTTTGTCGCAAAGCAATGTCAGATGGATTCCTTGTAGGAATTCCATTGTAACAATTATTCCCGTCCCCAATTTCACTATCCTTACTTTTTCCTTTCGACTTCCAAAATGCTAATTCCAGTTAAGAAAAGAATTGGTTTTGATTCTTGAAACCAACTTCTGATGTTTTGATTTATTGTTCAGTATTGAAATGTGTTAATTGATTCTGATTGTGTTATTAATGGGTAAAATTATTCTTCCATTTGACATTGTTTCGATTTTGTACAAATATCAACAGTCTGTCGAAATTGTTTCCAACAAAAAATAAAAAAATAGAATAATTGTTTGATAAAACATTCTCAAAAGAAAATTACATAAATGGATGGAAACAAGATTAGGCAGAATGTTTTGCTTCAATTAATATCTTTTTCCTGCACCTTGCACAACAGCTGATCAGGTAGGTAACATAACAGTGTATGACATGGATTCATTTACCTACTTTCTTCATTGGTAAACAGCAGATTTTTTATGATTTTATATTAAATGCTGGTCATTTCTGTCCAACTAATTGGGGGATACTCTAAAAAGGTATGGAGAGGGAAGTCTGCTTTCCGTTAAAATTTACAAGCGAATATTTGCAGTTATTGCTAGTATTTTCATGTATATTGAGACCGGCAACAGGATTCCTGGAAGGGTTTGAAGTTTTATTTCAAATAACAAATATTTAGACTTGTTTTGCTTCTCAGATTGTTTTTTATATGTACATGTTATACAGATTTTACTTCAAGAATAACATCATCCATCATCTCATTGAAAAGCAAAGTAACTCTCTGGAATTTGGATACTGTGAAATAAAACTGGGAAAAGATGAGGTAGTTCATGTTTCCATTGAAATGATTGAAATTTGAATTCCCTTTTCTTTAAAATGAAGGGAAAGCCAAAAGCTGATAAGGAACCCTTTTCAAAGACAAAGAAATTGACGAAATATTTGTCATAGCTCTTGCACAGTGCTTGCCAAAATATTTTGTGGAATGATTTTCTATGAAATGGGAGTCTTATTTTATCACATCGAGATAACACAGTGAAGATTGATCATTAAACATGACAACAGAGTAGGGTCCCTAATACATGAGGCTGGAAAGTTGTGAGGTCTTCGGCATGGTGTTGCTGCCACTGGCATGTGGACAATGCATGTACAGCATACAGCACCTGTGCCAAAAATGAGATAAAGTACCAAACAAATCAAGGAACATTCAAGAATCTGGAATATAATTTAGATCAAGTAGGCGTAATTTGTGAGCTAAAGCATGATTCAAATGTATCTATTGTGGAATATGTTTTGGAGTTTAAAATCAACACATTTATGTGAGGGATGGTGAGGTTTTACCTGGGATGGTAAGGTTTTTACCTTTGAAATGACTCTCCAGATTCTTGAATAAGATTGCCAGAAAGATTGGTCTGATTTGGATTTTCTCCCCGTCTGATTACATAGGCTAGAGCGAATGGACTGCAGTCGTGTGTTGTTGTGATCAGAATCCTACGGGACCTCTGTCAACGTGTTCCTACGTGGACGCCTCTCAATGAATGGGTAAGCTATTGTTCAACATGGTGGTGGTGATATTTCCGTGATCATGATCTTTGAATAATACAGCTGTATCTCCTAAGTCACTTTTTAAAAAGCTCTTAGATACCACAGCCCTATCTCCTTATCAAGAGAATTGAACAACAATATTTCAGTCTCAGATTAAAATTCTTGAATGCTGTATAAATGCCCTTTGAACACAAAAAATTGAGAACTTTAGTAATATCTCCTATGGTCAACCCTTGAATACTACAGAAATATCTCTTTTAAGATTTTGTATTTTAGCAATATCTCTTTGAAGTACAGCTACATACACCATATGGGTTAAAATTCCAGACAAAAGTCCTTTAATATTTGGTAGAAATCCTTGATATACAGGAGGTAATATTTCTTGAATACTATGCAGTTTCTCATGTATGAAAAAAATCCATAAATACCACAGCAATATTTTAAAAACATCCTTGAATGTTACAGTAATCCTTGGTTCAAAATTCATGACTTAGGAATCACTCAACACTACAGCAGTATGTTTATCATGTATACATGTATGTCATCAATATTGAATGATTTAAACTCCTTTGTTTTGATATTTGTATGTAATGCCATGTGTACACAGGCGATGGAGTTACTGGTTGAGAAGTGTGTGAGTAGTGGAGGAGCCAAGATGAGCCCTGGTGATGCCCTACGTCGCGTCTTTGAATGTCTAGCATCGGGGTTACTCCTACCAGGTAAGTTCTTCCAATTTCCACCAGTGTAGCAGTTCTTTCTTTATTTTAATTTACTTGATGGACATTGATGTGTATGCAACTGATCAACTGATTTACTTGTCAACCAGTGGAAAGCAAGAAGATCTGTAACCCTTTCACCACTCTAGACCATAATGGACTCGTCCACATCAATACATGGTAGAGTCTACTAAAGTTACATAGGGGTGAAAGGGTTAACCTGTTTATAATTGTTTAATACTGTCACAGGACTAGAAATTAATTTTCAAAACCACTAGTTCGTTGGGCTAGTAGTTTCCAATTTTACTAGTCCATGTGCAAATTCCACAAACCAAATATTCAACAAGATATTGACTAGTCAGGTGGGCAAGTGGTTTCTAGAACAACTAGTCCATCTGGAGATTTTTAATAGTCTTAGACTTTTAGGCTACCTTTATTTTCTAGCCCTGTGTCAGTAACTTATTAGTCCCTTACTGGTGAAACCGGGGGGCACTATAGTTTTCCTCTCCGTCCGTCTGTGTACGTACGTACATAATACCAATGTTTGTCAGCACTCTAGCGGCTTCATTCCTTAAGGGATTTTGATCAAACTTCAAACAAATACAAAGGACCATAATATCTCGGACAAATTTGAGTTTCAGGGTTGTTTGGTCAAGGTCACCGTTAGTATTTTTAGAAAATCCTTGTCGGGACTCCAACGGCTTCATTCCTTGAGGGACTTTGCTTAACTTAAACAATTACAAAGGACAATAATATTTAGGGACAAGGTGTTGTCAGGTCAAGGTTACTATTTTTAGAAAATCCTTGTCAGCGCTCTAGCGGCTTCATTCCTTGAGGGATTTTGATTAAACTTCATACAATTGTAAAGGACTATAATATCTCGAACAGGGTAAAGTTTCAGGGTTGTCGGGTCAAGGTCAATCTCACAGTGACTATTTTTAGCTCACCTGGTCCAAAGGACCAAGGTGAGCTTATGCCATACTGCAGCGTCCGTTGTCCGTCAACTTTACACTACTTGTCATGAACCACTGAGCTGATTTTAACAAAATTTGGTGTGGAGCATCCTTGGGTGAAGAAGAACCAATTTTGTATAAATGGTGGGTCTGGCCCCCCAGGGGCCTGAGGGGCGGGGCCAAATAGGGGAAATATAGCAAATTATTCTTTAAAATCCTTCTTCTTCTGTAGGAATGAAAGGATTTGGTCCAGATTTGGTCAGAAGCATCCTTGGGGAAGGGGAACAAAGTTTGTATAAATGGTGGTTCTGGCCCCCCTGAGGGGCTGAGGGGCAGGGGCCAATAGGGGAAATATAGCAAATTCTTTAAAATCCTTCTTCTTCTATAGGAATGAAAGGATTTGGTCCATATTTGGTCAGAAGCATTCTTTGGGGAAGGGGAACAAGTTTGTATAAATGGTGGGTCTGGCCCCCCTGGGGGCTTAGGGGCAGGGCCCGATAGGGGAAATATAGCAAATTATTCTTTAAAATCCTTATCCTTCTGTAGGAATGAAAGGATTTGGTCCATATTTGGTCAGAAGCATTCTTTGGGGAAGGGGAACAAGTTTGTATAAATGGTGGGTCTGGCCCCCCTGGGGGCTGAGGGGCGGCGCCCAATAGGGGAAATATAGCAAATTCTTTAAAATCCTTCTTCTTCTGTAGGAATGGAAGGATTTGTTCCATATTTGGTCTGAAGCATCCTTTGGTGAAATGGAATCAATTTTGTATAAACCTTGGGTCTGGCTCACCAAGGGCCTGAGGGGCGGGGCCCAATAGGGGAAATATAGCAAATTATTCTTTAAAATCCTTCTTCTTCTGTAGGAATGAAAGGATTTGGTCCATATTTGGTGTGGAGCATCATTGGGTAGTTGGGAACCAATTTTGTATAAACGGTGGGTGTGGCCCCCCTGGGACCTGAGGGGTGGGGCCCAATAGGGGAAGAAGACATAAATCTTCAAAATCCTTCTTCTTCAGTAGGAATGGCAGGATTTTGTCCATATTTGGTCTGAAGAATTCTTGGGTGAAGGGGAACCAATTTTGTATAAACGGTGTGTCTGACCCCGCTGTAGGCAGAGAGGTGGGGCCCAATAGGGAAAATAGAAGTAACCTTTAAAATCCTTTTCAGACCATCAGGATTAAGGGATTTTATCCTTATTTAGTGTGTAGCCTCCCTGGGTGACAGTGACTCAATTTTGTATAATTGGTGGGTATGACCCCCGTAGGGGCATAGGGGTGGGGCTCTGTTTGAAGTTTGTTCTCTATATCTCAAGTACTGGATGGATCTTTTTGAAATTTCATATGTACTAACAGCACCTACCATGGAGTGCTATATCTTTACTTCATACCAATTACTTTAATTATATTCAGGTGAGCGATACAGGCCCTCTGGGCCTCTTGTTATCTTTGAATTGCTACTTGTCCTGAACAGCATAATGTCCTGATCAGCTCAGTGGATTTTGACAAAATTTGGCCTTGAAATCCTGCGGTAATGTGGACTCAATTTTGTATCAACAGAGGATGTCCCCCCACCCTGGGGGCAGAGAGATAGTGAAAAATAGAGGAATTAGAGGTCAATGTTTTCAATCCTTTTCCTTCAGTA